GCCTTGAGCACGCGGAGAACGCAGATTAATCGAGAGAAATTCTATTTCAGGAACGATTTTTAACATTGTTTATTGCAATCGAGTACTGCTTTCAAGATCTTTTGGCGCGCGGGTGTGTGTATATACGCAACTGCAAAAATACCTTGAAGCTCTTTCTTGGTACAAAGGCTGAAAAAAACGGTTAACAAACAAGGCTTCGTATAGCGATAAGACTGCATTTACACAACGTCGGAGTGACGACGACCAAACAAGGAATGAAACTGTCACAATCGCTAAAAGAATTGCACACTTGTTTTTTTTTTTTTTATTATTATCCGAGTTGCCGCGTTCGAGCAACTTTCCGCGACATTTTTCGATAGGAAACGTGAGCACCGGCGGAAATTAAAGTTCCAAACACGAACAGCAATAATTCTCTTCTGCGACAGGGACACAAGGAGAGAAACACTTTCTTCTCTACGTTCGAGCACAAAACCGGTACACACACTCGTATAGGAACACTCGCGTGCAAGAACAACAACGTCTTTTCAAAGACATTTCGAGAAATACACACCCCCCTCGCTTCTTTGCCACCGTATCGAATCACGTATTCTATCGCGAATTTTAATTTCAATTTCTCCAAGGCTTGGGGTCTTGGAGCCAAGGCCGTGTACCCCATTATCCGAATTAAAAGCAAAGAGCACGAGAACGACGAGAAGTCAGAAGTCACGCTTCACCCTCGTTCCAAGTTCTGCGGTTTCACCAACTTTTTAATTTCTCGTTACTTTACGGATTACAATCGAGCAACGAGCACGTAATATCTATTATAGCACGTAGATCTATCATAGGCTCGATCATTTTTCGTAGTTTTGCGAGATAGTCTCCACATAACTGACCGCATTTTGCATCTCGTAACTAACCAGTGGTTATCCCCACCAATTCTTAAAATTGGGACTATTCCCACTCTACGCTACCCTAGAGGCGTGGCCGCTTGACACTTGATACACAAAACAGTAATGCCTTCGCACTTTTTAGACTCGTAAGCATCTGTTGCTCATCTTCACTGATTTTCGGAATTGAAACTATCCCCGTTCATCGCCACTCTTTCTTTCGATGCCAATTCGCAACTCTCTTAACCTCTTGCGCTGGCAACTGATTTGCGGACCATAACGAGTGACCAAACCGTGTACAACAATTCGCCGCTTTCTTTTTGAATTCGTCGGTATGATATCACTGGATAGAAATTATTACTAAGAAGCAATGCATTTATTTGTTTTGTCTGGATTATACTTAAATATATTTAAAACTAGAGAAAATATTACAATTTTGGGACAAAAAATTCCCGACGTGCGTGACACATCATTCCAGTGCAAGAGGTTAAGGATACATTTTCGGTCCCGACTATGGTCAGCTATGAGACCAATACTGTATTATGATACCGATATTGCCTGGTGTTGGTGAAACAGTTGACGCTCATCCCCACTCTTTCTTTCGATGCCAATTCCTGGAATTGCCAATTCCGATCAACTGACCAGTTTCGATCCCGACTGTTGATCAGTTACGTGGGGCTACTGTGTTAGTAAATTACGAAATCTTAGATCGCCTACTGACGTGGGCGACAGGTTAACGTTGTAATCCGTGGTGGCGCCAATGTTCTAAGGCTAATCACTTCACGGACTCTCACTCGCTAAACATTCTTCGTGTTCCGTTACGACAAACCGTATTCTTATTTGCTATTCTGTTTCAGCTACTGCTTCAGTATGTACTGCGTTTTGCAACGAAATTAAAAGCTCTAATCCAAAGTGTTATATCTTAGATATTCTCTTCGGGAAGGGATAGGTTTCAGCCTATCTTGAAGTTATTCAATCTTCAACTTTACAAAAAAGAATCAAACATATACTTTAGTGTAATATCACACATTTTAGATCTAGCAAAAGTATCGAATAATTCGGATAATCACGTGGCACAAATTAAGTATTTTCGCGTTATTAAGTTATTAAGGATTTAGACGATATTAAGTTGTAATGATCGAGTCGTTCTACTTTCGATCAATCGCGCGAGTTGTAAAATGGAAAAAAAGTGACGCGACGTTGAAAAGTGAGGGAACATTGTTTTTTTTAAATTTACCTTGAGATACACTTATTATCCATCACGTCACGTTTAGTATCTAATCTCATTTGAAAAATTGCGATGAATCATACATTCTTTTAAACTCACAGAGCGTGTTATAATTTGTTTGTGTAGATATGTAGTCTGTTGTTACAAAGAAAGTCCATCAAGTAGAGGATGTAAAAATTGTAACGCAGCGTAAGCCAGGAAAGTGGAGAAACTTTTACCGACAGGAAATAGTAAAAAAATTTCCTACTTACCGAACGTAAACACGACAGGTGGAATTGTTTACACGTCGATCACTGACAAATCTCCGGTGATCCTCGAAATAATCTTTCAACGCCGTCACACCAAGGACAAATATTATGGGTATCACGGAGACTTCCTTGCCGAAGGCGTTTATGGCTGGCACCCAATTAAGTAGAACGATAAATACAAAATATATATTGGCCACGCGGCGGAACTGCTCGAGGAAATTGCGAGGTAGGAAGCTCAGCATCGTATACTTTGTCGTACGTACTCTGAAAGCACATTTCAAGTCGGAATTTAAGCTTCTCACTGAATGACATTTGTTGAAACTAAAAATGTCGACTTTGTTCCTAATTTCTAACACTTTTACAACGCTACATCTATGATTGCAAAGCTGTGTCACGAAAAACGTGTTGCAAAAAAAAAAAAAAAAGAGAGGAACATCTGTGAATTT